TATAGTTCTTTGTCACAGGGCTTAAGCTAGACACCTTCTCCTAAGCAGGGCACAAAACACTTGCTTTAGAAAATCAATTATTGGCTTCAAAGCTTGGTCTTTCTCCTGCTCTGATTTCATATCTATATCTGGTTCCATTTCACCATCATCAACTCCTTCAGTCACTTTGTCTTCAGCTTGATGACACCTGGTTAGTTCAAACTCTCTTTTAACACTTACCGGAATTTGGCCTTTGTTGTTCCCAAACTTCATTTTATCAAAATTAATTACACACTTCCTCGGTAGTAAGTAGTCCAACCCTATTATGCATGGGTCTTCAATGCCAGCCAAGTATACTTTGTGTCTGTCCTTCATGCGTATGAGCTCGATAGTTACCCACACTGGTCCCCACAACATTGTATAATGTCCTGTCACACCACAGAGATTCTTTATGGCTTCTGGTACTCCTTTGTGATCTAGCACAAGGGTTTGCTGAGATGCAGAATCTATGACAAAGTTGCACCTTTGGCCATCCAGCTTTCCTGTCACATAGACACTATGTGTGCTTGCCAATTTACACTTAGCTGTTAGAACTTTTACGATGGGGGTTGGTGGGCGTCCCTCAGCACCAGCCACTACTGGTTTCCCGGAGCTTACTTATTGGTAGTATTCGTCTTACACTGGCTCCTCGCGTGTCCTTGCATTCCACAGTTCCAACAACTTTTCTGGGTAACAGCCTTTCCTGCCGTGGCATCTTCACTGTGTTGAAGTTGCCCGCATTGAGCTCTTTTGTGCCCAGGTTTATTACAGTGCCAGCAAAGTCCCTCAAACTTCTCTGAAAGCTGCCCTTTTCTGGCCTTGAATCCTGATGACTGCACCAACCTTTGTGCTGGACTTAATATAGGATTGAAATTCAACATCTCTGGCCATTGCATCCTGCATAGTAGAGGGGTGTGCTTGCTTTACTTGTATCTTAAGTTGTGGACTGTCCAAGGCATCTACAAACTGATCCCTCAGCAACAACTTGAGGAGATCGGGTGGTGCAGTTTGGTTGGCCTTGTGTGCCATACTTTCCAAATCCTGGGCCAGCTCTTGCAAGCTCTCCCCTTTAGCACAAACTCTCGTCCTAAACCTAGCCCTGTAGACTTCAGACTGATTTTGGGTTCCATACCTGAGTTCTAGAGCCGCTACCAGTGCTCTACAGTTGTGCCTGTCATCTACCGACAACTGTCCAAGTATTTCCAATGGTCGTCCCTTCAAGCTCGTTGCCAGATATACTGCATTCTGCTCCTCTGTCCACCCATTCATCTCTGCCAGGAGCTCAAATTGTGCTCTATATGCTTCCCACGGTGCCTTCCCATCGAATTCCTGTGGCTTCCTTCGCACTGGATCACACCTATTATTGACATTCATATCTGGGATGTGAATTCTAACAGGACTGAAGATGTCTGCGTTAGGGTTTAGCTGCGGGGTCTGGAAAGGGCTTCCCATTGTCTGAGGCTGATTAGGTCGATGGCTAATATATACTCCTTGTGTAAAAGACAGTAAATCATTCTTTAATGTATTTAATTCACTAATGTTTTTCATTTGTGTACCCTGGCTTTCTCTCAACTGTTGGATACTTTCTTATTGTTTATTTTCTTTCTCCTCCAACCACTGCTATAGTCTCTCTTCTTGTTTCTTTTCTCATCCTTCTTGTTTCTTTTCTCGTTCTTCTTGTTTCTTTTCTTTTTTCCTCCAACAATTGTTGTAATCTCTCTTCTTGTTTCTTTTCTTTTTCCTCCAACAACTGCTGTAATCTCTCTTCTTGTTTCTTTTATTTTTTCCTCCAACAACTGCTGTAATCTCTCTTCTTGTTTCTTTTATTTTTTCCTCCAACAACTGCTGTAATCTCTCTTCTTGTTTCTTTTGCTGTTCTTGTATTGCCACCATCAAATCTGCTAAGCTGTAGTTTGATTTGCCACCTCTGGTTTCCATCTTCTTCTTCTTCTTTTTTGTTTGTCCCAGTCTCTGACACCAATTTGTTACGTCTCTCTTCATTTGATAATTTCCCGTAAAAATTCTTCCCGTGGAACTTCATCGATACAAGCCCTTTCTTAAATAAATCTAGTTTATTCTTCCTCAATTCTACTTTGCAATACACAGAATTTCCACAGTCACTTTAACTTAAACACACGCTATAATTCACAACGATTTACACACTTTTCTTACAGCTTGACTCGATTATCTGTCTCTATGTCCTTGTCTGCTATTAAATTATCTCCGCTTTATTTGCCGGGCTTATATACAAAAATAGAGGACGTCTGGCAAATACTAGAACATTCGTGATGTTCCCCGATTCTTCTAGAAACTCATGACGAGTTACCAGCGTCACTTGACTTCCGCTGTCGTAACAATATTATCAACTTCTGAGGATAACAAAGGAACAAGCCTGTCATGGCATGGTTATTAGGGCACTCGACTTGCAATCTGCAGGTAACGGGTTCGAATTCCCGTCACAGGTTTAAAATATAACCGTGAATCTCACTATTCCTTCGTAAAAGAGTAGCCAAGAGTTGATTCTATGTAGTGTTGACTAGCTGCCTTCCCTCTAGTCTATTACTGGTAAATTAGGGAAACAAATGTAACTTGAAACAAAATCAATTTAATGTTTTTTTCGAACACTTGGTGAAACCTAAATATATTCAGAGCACAAAGAAAAAACTGAAAATAATTATCTAATACTATAAGAAGATAGAAACTTAAGGTATATTTAAATAGCACACCATGTAGAAAAAATCCCCAAAAAAAAACGTTTTAAGAAACTGAAAATAGGCTTAGAAAAATTCTGGTTGATTTATTCAGATATTATTCAAATTTCAACTTGAAAAACATCCCAGCTGGGATTGAGACAAACATATTCTTATAGGTGACGCTTTAATAGTAATTATTGTCGCAAAATGGCACCAACAGGTCCGAGTACTGATACTGGTGGTGTAAAACCCGTTAGTATTGAAGGTCGTTTTTCCCATGAAAGACAACGGTTGTCAGGTGAATATACTGATGCAGATAGAGAATGGCGCAAGAAATGGTTAAAAGATCAAGAACTTTCGCCTAATGAACCCCGACGTGTTCCTGAGTTGGAAAGAGAGCTGAGGAATCCTATAAGGCGGTTTTATTCCAAGCCATGGAATGCCCTCGAGTCGATTCTTGCACCAGCAATCGTACGACACTTTGCATTAGTTGTATTAATAATAATAATAATCCTTTTTTTGTTTAGCATCTGTTGTAGAAGTTAGATTGAAAAATCAGGTCATTGTTTTTTCATGTCTTATTAACACTTTACCAAGTATTTATCTACACCACAGTCTACAGTATCAGTAGTGTGTCAGAGCTACTTTGCGCAACGGCAAAGTTCCAAGAAAGAGTAGTGCATCACGTAAACTAATCTAACAGTAAGAAGTTCTATAAAATTTACCATTGAAAAATTCGTTGATTGCTGTGTGGCATGCTGTTTCAGTTTTACAATTTTTGTGGATTATGTATGTAAAGTATAATAATTTTGAATATTTTAATATTTATTAAATTTCTAAATACGCTTAAATATAGTATTAAACTTATAATAGTTATATTGCAAGGAAACGGTATATTTGAGTCGATTTCTTAGTATTATATGAAAGGATAAAACAAACTACAAATGTAGAATAAATATAATATTCAGAAATATAGCTGTACACATTTTTTGCTAACATTAAGAGAAGGCACACACTGTTTTCTTGCATGGAGTTAACTTTGTGCAGTGGCCATTTTCAAAGGGTTTTATACTGAAGCCAGTGCATGTCCAATAGTTAAAGGTAGAAACTCTTAGTCTTTTTGCTAAAATAGGAATTTATCAAACAGAGGAACTTTGGGAGGTATTTTGGTGTGTTTTGAATTTTGCACAAAGCTATACTAGGGCTATATGTACTAGCCATCCCTCATTTAGCAGTTATAGACTAGAGGGAAGGCAGCTAGTCAACACCACTCACCACTAACTCTTGGGCTTCTCTTCTACCCAAAAATAGTGGGATTGACCATCACATTATAACACCTCCACAGCTGAAAGGGCGAGCATGTTTCGTGTGATGGGGATTTGAACCTGCGACTTTCAGATTGTGATTCAAACTCCGTAACCACCAGGTCTAGTTGGGGAAGTTGTAAATGTGAGATCATTATATGAAATATCTAAATTAGAATTTTTTACATCATCCAATGTAAAGGATATTTCGTTACTTGAGCATGTAGTAAGTGTATAATTTTGTACCAAAAGTTTTCTTTTGAATTAGATGTGTTAAGTTGCATTTAATAAATTGATGTATGCTACTAAAATTTAGCTGTTGTAGCATTGTGCAAAATATTTTGGATGGTTTTCTGATCCACAGTAATTTTATAAGTTTTTCCAAATGTAAATTTTAGGTTTAAGTCAATGAGTATTGAGAACATATGAGTTTTATTAAATTCTATTTGTTAATAATTGCATGAATATAGTGTTTAATGTTCAACAAAAAAAAATACTAGTATCTCAAGTTCTGAAGAGAGACAAAAAATATTGTTACGTCTCTGTTTGTTTGTTAATTTTCCGTAGAAATTCTTTCTGAGAAACTTCAGCGATACAAGTCCTTTCTTAAATAAAACTAGTTTATTCTTTCTTGTTACAAACTTTGTAATACACTTAATTTCCACAGTCACTTTAACTTAAACACGCGCTATAATTCACAATGATTCACGACGCTTTACTTACAGCGCCTACCTCCCACTTGACTCAACTATCTGTGTCTATATCTTCAATCTCTCTATCTGTGATTCCAATTCCGATTAATTATCTCCCATTATCTGGCGCGCTTATATACAGGAATAGAGGGCATCTAGCAAATACTGAATTAATCGTGATGTTCCCCGATCCTTCTAGAAAATCATCACGTGTTACCAGCATCGCGTGACTTCCGCTGTCATAACAATATTCATGTGAACCTGAAAAAATTCAAAATAATATATTTTCTGTTCAGTATGAAGGATCATTTTATAAACCCATTTATGGGGTAATTTTTTAAACTAAAGGGTATGGATGAAATTTCAAGATCACCTTACAGGAAATATCCAGAAAAAATTCAAGTTAAATATAGCTTTCTACATATATAAATCTGTCCAACAAATTTTGAAACAAAGAAATTAATTGAAGTTTAGTACTGAAAGAGAATTATACTATCAAATAACAAGTTTGCATCTAGACTTTCTAAATTTAAACTTGTTACACATAAAATTTTGGTTTATACAAATATCTGAATCTTTTCATTCTGCCAAACAAACATATTGACCCTATAAAGACTATTAAATTTTTTCACTGCACTTTATAGAAAACAAGTTCAGAACTAAGTTGTTTTCTTTTTGTAGCTTAATTCTGACTTGAACCAAGTATAATTTCATTAGCTAACCTCTGCACTCATTCTGATATGTTGACTTTCTTCTTGTAGTAAAGGAACAATATCAGCCAGATCCTGGATCAGTGCACAAGCTTTCTTGCTTTAAAAATTAAATTCCTTTAAATAGGACAAAGAATTTTATTTTTTCACTTTCTAGATACTTGGCTGAAGATTTTAAAATTTAACAAACAGTTACTTCTAAATAATTCTCATTTTCCATGACACTAATGCTCCCATTATACAAGAAACAAGTATTTGCCAAATTATCATACCACCAATTACATAAATATACACTTCTCAGCATTGAAACTTCGTAGGTCATATATATCGTACAGAATAATTGTTTAAAAAAATATTTCAAGAAAATATATATAAAATGAAACATAATTCAAATATCAAGTAATTTATTTGTTTTTCAAGCTTAGCAGGTAATGTATTTCAGCAGTGAGTAACTGATAGAAGGAATTGTATTCAAAAGTTTTTCTCTCTCTACATTTTCCACACAGAATGGTATGCCCTAGTGGTTAGCATGCTTGGACTGTGAACCCGAGTGTTCATTGTTTGTTTCTATATAAACTTAAACAGCAATTTAGGGCTGTAAGTGAGCTATAAGAGTGGGAGTCAAATCCCACTATTATGTCAGACAAGAGTTAGTAGTGGGTACTCTTGTCTAGCTGCCTTCTCTCTTGATTTATTAGTTCTAAAATAAGGATGGATATATGCAGATAGTCTTTTGTGTAGTTTTGTTTCAAATATGTATATAAACTTGCACCTTTTTGTTAGCAAAAATTCTTAAATTAATAAACCTTTTAATCACTGTTTTATCAGACTTGATGGTCTGTCAGATCAAATGGTGTTTTCAGTTTTTACATTCAGTTAAAATAGCAGAAATTCTTAGGTTAAGCTGAACTAACTATTTGGTATTATATGTATATGTTTACATATACTTTTATAAATTATATCAAGTAGTATGTTTTCCAGGTTGAATATTTAGTGCTGCATTTTGTGCATTGAAGGTTCAGTAATTCTCCATAGGATATCAAAAGTTGACTCCTGTATTCCTATCGGAAAGTCTTCATAAGCTCTTGCTTATTAAACTAATATATATATATATATATATATATATCATGAACCACTACAGTGGTTCATGATAGGTCTCACCCATTTGTTCTTCTTTTATTATTATTTAATATTGTTCCACCAGCTTACAGCAAAAATACGTGTGAGTATTGTAATAAAACCTTGGCAGTATTACTAGATGCATCATTGTGCATTGTATAGGATGGTTTTTAAGTTTATTTGACTACCTAGCAAATAACAGTGGCTTTATAACTGTTGATACCCAATTGTTTTAATGTAGTCTGTGGTTTATTTGGAGACTCGTAATCTATTACATATAGCTGTGTGCAGGTTGTTGATGTTTATATGGCAGGCATGACATGCACCACAGCGATTATTAACTTATTGTTGCAACTGTATTGATGTTGTGTATCATTTGTTTATGTATAGGGTTCCTATCTTTTCGGACAAGATGCTGCTGTCAGGATCACAGTTTTTTTACCTCTGCGTGATCAATTTTGACTATGTTACAAAAACATAATACAAATGTCTAGGCCATCTCCAACAACAGAAAGCTTTAAGCTATAGTTTAAAAGATAGCACCGGAATCACGGGATGGCTGATAATTTTTGAATTAAGCCAACTCTGCATGATTGCAAATTTTATAGATACTGCACATACAGTAGCTATCATTAAAACTGACTATAAGGAGTAGCAAGAATCATGCAAGCAGGAAATGGTAATTCTAGCCAAAAGTGAAGCAGAAATATTTTAGCCGTATATTTTATTTAGAAAATATATAGTTTGAGATAGAGTATGCAGCAGTGATGGCTCACCAGAGTTTAGGGTCGTCACAGTGCTAGGAGGTCTGTAGAAGTGTCCATCAATAATAGAGGAGGAAAAAGGTATGTTAATATAATTAATTTGTAAATTGTTAATTATCACATTTTCGACATTGTAGAGTGTGAAAAATGTCACTCTAATGGGAAATCTGGCCAGCTGCAGCAAAAATGTGACCAGCCTTACTATTGCCAGCAGAGAGGAGGAAGAGGGAAATATAACAACTATAAGAAATATTACGAATGCTTATTTCAATATACATGCTATCTATCTATCTATATATATATAAATATACATGCTATATATATATATACAGCTTTACAACTTAGAAAAAACTGTGTAACTACTAGCCAACATACTTTGCATGTGCATGCATGTATAAAACTCATGCAGTTACAAAATCCAGTCCATGCATCATTGTAGTATAGTTCAGTAGTCCTTCCAAACCAGTTTTCACAGACTTCCCATATAGCTACATGGTATAAATGTAGTAGCCAGGGGTTGAAATATTACATTTCTGCATTCCAGAAGAATTTAACTTTGCTTGAGGAATATTATAGTTGAATACATGGTCTATCCTTATTTCTTTAGTTATGACCAATGAAAGTGAACGTATTGCATGGATTAGATAAAAAAACAATTCATGAGGAAATGCAAATTTACACGAAAGAATGTAATCTTCCTGATGCTTTCCCTTGAGTGAATATAATTTTATTTCATTATTTCTATCCCTGGTAGCCATATATATATTGATCATCATGCTTCACAGTGATCATACATGCAGTACCACAATCAGTGATAGACATTTGTATAAATGTATAGTGCAACAGTTTAATACAGAAGTGTGATGCGTACTAAGTAAAGGTTACACATTTATTTAAGTACCAGATAGTTTTTACTGTGATTTGGCTTATGAAATATAACTGTTAAGTTCCAGCATTATTATTATATACATTTAATTTACATAATGATCTATTTGCAACATTTTAAGTTTTTTAAGTTGAAGTTGTTTTTTTCTCATATATGAATAAATTGTGTAAAATGTAAGTCAAATTTAAAAAATGAGCTAGAGATTTGATAATAGTAATTGTCAAAATGTAACCAATATTTTTTTCATATCAATTGATCTTGTATGTAAACAAGTAAAATACATTCATATGCTGTTGATTGTGATTATCGTATGTTATTAAATATAAAATATTTAACTTTTGGCAAGTGTGAGCTTTCTTTAAGTTGTTGTAATAAATAATTATAAACTATTAATTTGCAATAAAAGTTTGAATAATGTAATTGTACATTTAATCTTCATGTAATTATTGTTTCTCTGTAAAAAAAAAAAAAATTAATGCAAGTTCTCTTGCTTCAGAGCTCATTCTTAGATATAACAATTTTTATGTGAATTCTGATAACCTATTATTCAGTATTTCTAACGTTATTATTTTTTAGGGACCTTCAAAAGCATGGTTTATACGTTTCTGGCTTCCAAAATCCTTGATGGCTCTCACCACTATTTATGCTGGGTACTACTACCTGAAGTACAATTCAAATGTAAGCATGTGCTTATGTACAACAAATGTTTCTTTAACCCTTTCGAGACGGGTCACAGGTGAAAGGCCATGTCATCTCGTTTGTTGACTCGCATTCAAAATTTTATTGAACTACTATTTCATGAAGTTATGTCAACAACTTTGTTATCAAACTGTAGATTATAATTCAAATTTTAGTACTATACGTTATTAAATTTCTTAATTTAAAAGTAAATATTAAAAAACACAGATAAAAATCGATTTTTGTGTGTCATGTGGTATGTTGAACGCAGCACTGGTTCAAATTAAATGTTTGTGATGTCAAAATACTAAGTCTATAGTTTTGTACAAATTAGACACTCAAATTACCGATATTGACAAGCTAGAATATAAAATAAGAACATCTTATCTTTTCTATTTGCTAAGATGTTGCTCACATAATAAATAAAAGACATTGGTGCCCCACCCACCTCTTTACATTTTTGGAAACACTCCATAATATATGCTTACTTCTATATATGACATGAATAACCAATCGAAAGCTCAGAATGTCCTCCTAGTGGTACCAAAATTGACAAAGAAATGTATGGTAAGTTATATACTGATACAGAATGCTTAAAAACTGTTTAATACTGGAAGTAGACAAAGTACAAGTGGTTTAATTAGTAATCCCATTCTGAAGAGATCATGTGTGGTAAAACAAAAACTTAGTAATGCAGAGGTTGATTAAGTTATATTAAAACGTTTTATAGCCCATGTTGCTATGTTGGGTCATACTCTACCTCAGCCTTGCAGCATTGTTTTCATTGCAGAGGGCTTCTTGTTAAGTTTGTTGTGTCTGAAACGCATCACTCCTACCTGCTTGCTTTTCATACTCTGTATGGTATACAAAGATGAATGTTTCCCTGCACCTGCTTCAGTAGGTTGGTTACAGAGAAATCCATTGGTGCTGCTCTTGACTGGTATGTCTTCATATGGAATAGCACATGGATACCTATTTTATTCTCCAGCTACATGAAGTATGCAAAGTTGAATAGATATGTCATGTAAGCAGTTTATTTGAATGGGATTTGTGTTACTTTTCCAGACAGATCCATCTTGATTATTTTGCATACTATTGCCTGGATTATGTGTGTGGCTTTTGCTACTGGCCTTTGTGCTTGTGGATTTTCACCTATTACAAGATACCACACTTTTCTTATCATGACTGGGGTATGATTTGTTGCAGATCTCTTGTTTTTTTTATGTTGGTGATGCCATATGGTGGGAGAAATGTTCCAAAAAAAGTTAATTTCTCTCATGGGAAAGTAATTTTTTTGTTTACTTTCCCTCACATTTTAATGTTTTCCCCTCGAAAAATATGATTGTGGAAAATCAACTAAGAAAATTTAATTCCCTTGAACTAAATAGATTTTCCTCAATTTTGACCCAATAGTATTATATAAATCTGGTAAAATGATAAAATTATTTATTTATATTTGCCTTGAAATGAAAACTTAAAAAATAATCCAGTGATTACCACACATTTTAAATTGCAACTCTGATAATTAAAGAACATGTAAGAGAATAGAAAAACAAGGTTGTTATGGTTTGGATAATCTCTGTATAGGTGAGGAATATTGACATTTTGGTTTGATTTCCCACAAATTTATGGGAAATGAGCAATAGCTTGGTGATTTCCCATACAGAATATCAAGTCTTTCTGCTAATTTTCCCCTAATGAAACTTAATTTCCTCAGGAAACTGGGAAGTGTAAATTTTGACCCTTGCATTATGATCTGAGTTTATGAATATTTTGTGTAAAAATAGGCTGTTACGTACCCATCTCAAAAATCAGCAATTTTCAGTGGTATCACTCTGTTTATGAAACTGCAAACAATGTCAAAAAGTAGTTCTGATACATTCCATTCTACTACAATTTTATATAATTTGTGGTTGTCATGTGACTTGCTGATTTGCATATTCAAAATCATTTTAATATGATGTATCATCTATCTGTATAACTAGTGAGGAATTCAAGATAGAATTGCCATTTACTGGTCAAGTGAAAATATTGGATTTTAAAGTGAGATTTGATAGGGTTTGATATAGAATCTACATTTACTGATTAAGTGATAATATTCTTGTACAGTAGTGTTTCTTTATATTTTAATGTACTTTAAACATAAATATGACTTGTATGTATGTAATAGTTATTTGTGAAAGTGTTTGTTAGGTATTTTCATGTAATGCAATACTGAATAGAATTCTCACTGTGTTAATACATGTTCTCTTTTTAAAGGATTGGACAAAGCATGGAAGTGTGTATTACTATTCCACACGCAGAGCTGTTGTCCCTGTAAGTTTATTAAATATTAATTTATTCATATTTAAAAAGTAATACAGGCCTTCGATGGTTTTATTGTCTTGAAATTTTTACATGTTTTACAGTAATTCCTGTATGCTGAATCCGAAAGTGATATCCATTTTTCTCCATCACGTACATAAAAGAAAGACCACAACACATAGTTTTGAGACTAAAAGACATAGATTTCACACAAAAAATCAGGATTAATGAGGATGCATATTTGTTTGACATCAGTGTTCTTCCATTTTCTTAAGTTTGTTTGTATTTTTATTAACAAACATAATAATAATAATAAATGTTCATTGTCGTAAACTAAATAATAATAATAATAATTGTTTTTTCTTCTTCCCAATTTGTAAAAAATCCTTACGTCATAGAAAAAAAATGAATGTTGTATTCAAAATCTATGCAGTTGAATTATGGAAAATCCATTATTAAAACCAAAACAACTTTTATGAAGTTTAAATTTGCAGGCATGTTGTAATTAGTTTATGTATTTATGTAGTTAGCTCATAAAAAATTATATAAAGACAGCCCATATTTTAAAATATTTAAAGAATATAGTGAAAATGGATAATACATTGATATCTTAAAATTTTAATTATTACTTTCTGGATTGAAAAGAAATGCAGATACTAGCTGTTTTTATGCGTCTATTAAACCCAGTTTGAGCAGTCATTTATGTCTTGTCATATGGGTAATCAGTACTAAAATTTTCATGGCTTAACATTGGGGCTGAAATTTGAAAATTTCCAAAACCTGTATTTAGAATGTTGTTTTGAGTTGCTCCTGAAATGTAAGTACTAATGTTGACTTTCCAAGTAAATCAGTTCAGTCAGTCCCTTAATCTTTTTTTGATCCTCCTCACAACTCTTCCAAAATTTTCTTCCTTGTTAACCCTTTCCATATGGGTAGGGGTCAGTGTGCACTCATCATGTTTTTTAGACTTACATTCAAAATTTTATTAAACCACTATTCTATGAATGTATATCAATAAATTTGGAATCAAACTGTAATTTATAATTCAAATTTTAGTAAACATTATTTAATTTCTAAATTCAAAGGTATTAAAAAACAATAGCTAAATATCACTTTTTGTGTGTCATATGGTACATTGTCTCTATTTTTGCTCAGATCTTATGACTCCCACAATACAGTCAAACCTTGATTATCTGGACTTTTCTTTCTGGTCTGAGTTTGTTCATGAATATTAATAAACCATGATTGTGGAAACTCCTAGCAACAAAAATTATGCACCAGAAGAGATGAAGCAAAGTTCATATTGGAAACAATGATCATCGGAGAGTTCGTGAGGCACCCAAACACATTCTTTATGGAGTTTCCCATATTCCTTAGATGTTTACGTATTGCTTCATGAGAGACTTGCAATTTCAGGGCCATTTCACAAGTGTGTTGCCTTGGGTTAGACTTAACAAGCATCAATATCAATTCCAACATGTTGGCCCCTGCCATTACAGTTTTTAAGGCTTAAGTTACCTGAACAAAATTTGCTGAACCATTGTTGACACGAACTTTCAAAACATTTCCATAAACTTCTTTGATAGTCTTTGTGGCTACAGCGACATTGTTTCCTTTCCCGTATTCATACAGCATTACATGCCAAATGTGTGTCTCGTCATGTCCCATCACTATAAGGGTTTAGAGTATACTAAACTTTCCACATTATATACAGGCTACGCTAACGTGATGTTTAGGTGGTTAATTTAACTGTTATACATGATGTACGTTTTTTGGGGGTTGTTTAATGAAAGTATTCCAAAACGTGACATTAATTTCTTGACGACCTAATAACTATAAGATATTAAGGTATGAAACCATTGTAAGTGCTATTATGGATAAAGTAGCCAACAATACTAGTGGCAGTTACATCTACCTGATGATGACAACTGCACACCAATTTCATTTCAAAATAACCACTGTTAGATAATAGTGTAAAATGAGCTCTTTCTAATCATAATAAACATGTATGTCAAGTAAGTACATGTGGCTAGTAAATCTCAAGGCTATTTACAGAAGGTGAGAATGGCACCCATCAAGGGTTGGCAGAATTTATTACTTTTTTCTACTGGATTCAGCCAAAGAACTTTGAAACTTAATTGTCAATACGGCAAGTAAATATAGTTATTTTCTAGACATACATAGTTTTGTTGTCACATGACCCACAAGCTATGAAAAATCTCAACTTATCCAGTTGCTATTTTGAATCAGATAACACCAGTCATGTAGGAAGTTTAAGTTTTTTTTAAGGTTTCTTTTGAAATAAGGGCATTAAAACTTGGATAATATAAAACTTTGAATTATAATGCACTTGATAATAATAATTTCATTAAAATACATTAATCCTAACGTGGTTTAATTAAATTTAAAAAGTGCATTGTAATTATAGGGATAAAATGCAGGTTATTTATGTTTTGCAAGTGCTTTTATTTAATCATCCATATTTATGTTGACAAATTTCAGGGAGACTCTGAATATCCTCAAGCACGAACAAGAACAGAACCAGCAGATTATGCTGACCGTGGTTTCAAAGCTAGAAAAGTCTTCAGAGATATTTAAAAGCTTAGTTGTTTTAGTATAGTTTGTATGGATAATTATATGCTACAATAATTAGTAACTATAAGTTTATAAAAGTTAGTATCATGTACTGTAGCAGAAGTTCATTACGTTGTATTGTAACACACATACAAATCTGAGTGTTACTTTAGATGTAATAAAAGTATCTGTAAACTGTTCATAAATTAGGAAGGTTTGTTATCTGACTCCAGACATTTCACATGCAGAGTTTTGTTACTATGGACATAGTTAGGCTAATTTGAATTATTTTCCTACTAAAATGAACTTGTTTTATATTAAACAAATTTTCTTACTAAATCTTCTGAAGTGTTTTAACCCTATCCAAATTGATGAGCACCTCTCGGGTGTTGAATGCATACTTCAATGTCAAGTTTCAAAATTTAAGTAAAAATAATAATTTTGTGTTTAGAATTAGTTTAAACTAATACTTTCTCATCTTGTAACATTTACATAGGGTAACTTGCAAATTTCCATTTCTGCACAGCTCCAAATACTCTTGCTTCTAAACATTGCACTTCATCAATTTATTTTAGAATTTTCTAGCCTATCCCAAAACATAGGTGTATATTTACTAAGTAACTATCATTCATTGAGAATATAATTTTCAAAGTTTTGCTTCTAGCATGACTTTTCTTCCATATCTCTGATTTTATTAGACTTTCTAATGCTCACACCCTTTTATGACAACACAGCATGTGATCTGGAAAAAAAAACCCAAAAACTAATGAATCTGTGCTTTGCAATGTAAAATAAAAAATAGTGATTTAAGAAATAATTTATGGTTTATGGGAAAGTGATTAGCTGCAGTTTCCACAAAGAAGTTTTTTATACTTTGTGTAGACATTCTATTCATTTCTGAAAATGTTTTTATGCTAAATTATATTTGATTGAAAGCTATGCAAATTTTCTTCTATGACAAGATGCCAGGTATGCCTAGTTAGGAACAGAGAGTACAGTAGGCAACATAATGTTCTAATGACTCAAATCCTAATTTATTGAATTTTATTGTTAAGTTTGTTGTATTCAAACAACATACATAAAAGAACTTATTGAAAAGAAGCTATATTTAATAAACAAATTGATATCTACTAAGTATATTGTTAGCTAGCTGACCTTCTACCGCTGTGAAAGGTCATTGGTTATTAATAAATCGTTCAGTTCTCGCAACTTTTAAAATTTGTATCCTGAAGTGTTGACTGCTAAAATTGGTAAAATAAAATAAATATGTTAATGAATATCAATGAAGTTAAAACTGTGTGCATGTGTATATGGAAATTCCTATCAACAATAAAAAGTATTTTAAATTCTAAAAAACTAAGCCCCTCAGCATTTTAAAAATTTTACAATAAAATCATAAATTTTAAAGCCAAAATTAGACACTATCAAGTTTTTTACTAAGTTTCATGCAAACTTGGTTCAGTATTTCTGCTGTGAGAAGGGAAGAAAATTAAGGTATGTCTTATGAACTTGGGTCTAAAACATATTGTGAATCTCTGGAGGTACTTTATGTTTGTTGTTGGTTATAAATATTTCAAAATTTGTGATAGTTGAGTACTTCTTTTTATTAGAAATAACTAAAAGAAATACATGTAAGCACTGAAATTTGCAGTAACTCCAAATGCACACAACATTTACAAAACAGTACTTCAAAAAAAAAGAAAGAAAGAAAAAGTTACAACGTACCAATAACCGAATTTGTATGCAAAGGCTTCACACAATTTAAAGTCATGTTACCTGGTTTAAAGTTTTAAATTTAACCTCATAATACAAACAAAATCATCCTGCCAATTGAACAATACAAACCACAGTTTTCATATGGAATTAAGCCTTTCACTGACAGTTGAATATAATTATTTACTTGAGAATATATCAACCTACAGGAAATACTCAATTTACACTAACTAGTACAGCTTTCTAAATCTAGTTAAACATACTGGAACTTTACAGAATTAAGCTTGTGGGCAGTGTACACAACATTATTGAATTTGTAATTATTACTTAAATAATGTGCAGAAAAAAGAAGTTACGCTTTCTTGGAAGCAAAAGTCAGTGGACTATAAATAATGTAGCCACAAAATTGTATCTGGTCCAAAACTGATCATGTGATTTTTTTTCAGTTAAATGAATTATTGTTATGAAGCTTTTGATATCTGTACGAGTATAGTTAAACTTCTGAACTATTTCATTCAATTAAAGCATATTTCAAAGTTGACCTTTTCCCTTTGCAATAACTTTGAGTTTATTGAATAATTATCTTTCTTTGTTCCATTTGCACAATTGAAATGCAACACTATACAATTAAAAATCCCAAGTTTAACTGTTTAGAATTACTTAGCCTTAATTATTATTGGCAAGTTAAATGTTATTTACATTTTATTTAATTAAAATCTTAGATTTCAGAGTTTTAACCAGTTATGTAAAAAAATTGTCAGTTATTTGTATCATAATGTATGACTAAAGATACAGTATATTTTACTTAGCATTAATAAACTCCACTGAAACCACAGATTCATAAAAAAAAAAAAAAAAAGTCGTGATTATCCTGTATAGTTGTATGAAAAACACTAAGACTAGATGCTAACCATAAAGCAAGCACTTAAATTATTTTCTATGGAATCTTGAAAGCACTGTTATGAAAAACAACTTTACGTAGCTGTTTTATCAATTATGTACATAACTTCATTACATTAACAGAAACATTTTATACTGGTGTCAGGTCAACCACAAATATGAAGTAATAAAATTATAAATTCTTAGTTAACGATGTATTAATAAGTATCATTTAGGCCTTTACTCTTTCTTGGGAAGGTGTTAAGTTAGAGGTCTCCATGTTTTAACTATTGTTTTGATTCTACACATTTCTTAAGTATTGTGAACACATTCATGATTTATAATTTTCATTATATCAAGAATCATTATGCTACAATGCAAGGGCTTAGTTTGATTATATGTTTTGAAGACTATTTAAGTGCTCTTAGTCCTAACATATATTTTCTTGCTCTAGGCTACAATACAAGAGTATTAACCAGCTCTCGTATTCAATTTATGATAAAGTTGCTATTAAAAGTCTGTACACCCTGCCATAAAATAAAAAATAGTTCTGGAGGTTCTTAACATAAAATATTGAGTAAATATAAAAAAATCACAATGTCACTTTGAAAGTCTTTTAACTATCTTAATTTTCTCGGCAAAAAATATGCACAGCTTTAGCGTTAAAATTTAATTTGTAATAATTTTTTAAATACTGTGCAAAAAAAGAAATTATATTTATTATCTTACTAATATTACATTATGATATTGTATGCAAAACTGTTCATATTCATAATTTATTTTGTTCATCTTAAATTATGATGTAACATGTCAACCTGTTCATAACCATGGTAATTTTCTTCATTTTTTTTTTAAAGTACCAAGTATCAATAGTTAATTCTGTATTATACTATTTTACAATTATGATATATATTTCATCTGACCAACATCATGTGTCACTATTCTCAGTCAAGGCTACTTTCTTCATTTGACTAACTACCAGTAGGCCACTATTGAAGAAAATTGAATCATGCATACTCATTTAATTACTTTGTATAATTTAATTAGACCAGTAAGTAGGAGTATTATGCTGTTTACACTTACATTATATTTTCATTATGTACCTTATTTCCTGTAAAACTACTAAAGTGGTCATATTTGTTATTTACTAATATTACCTTATATCATTCCATTAGGCCACTAAGAATTTTAAACTTTTATTATTTATGATTTTTTTATCACTTTATTCCATTAAAACACATAAGTAACAGTACTAACATCCAGGTTTTTTTTTATTTACCCAATCAGTACATAATAATATACAAGTAAAAGTACTTTGCATCTTTTGTAATGTGAAATTTGATACTAGCCGATCTTAACATATTCTTCTAACTTCAAAGTTTGTTAGAATAAATGTTTTCGAAATATTTCCACAGTAAAACAAAAGTTTATACAATTTGTCCAGATATTTATGGTGAATTTAAACTTTTAGCTATTCATAATTATTAAGTTAAGGTATATATTTTTCAAAAAAAGTGTCTAAAAATTACAAAATACAAGCAGCAGTGAATTTTCATCAACAGTTTTTCAAGGTTAATAGTATAAATGAAACTATACTAAAAGAAAGTTGACAGTGAAAACTCATTATGAATTGCTACAAATCTGGTGTCTGTTCATTTAAGAGTAATTTCCAATGATTATTTTTCAATTATATGGTGCAAATGTTTGAATATTTGTAACATAAAAAGCTTAAAGTTATGAAACTAAGATATTTGTGTTTCAGATCAGATAAATTAGAAATATTAGAACATTGCTTACAATGAAAATAAGAGAGTATTCTAGTCCAACATTTAAAGTTCAAAATGTTTGGTTAGTGGAAAATATAAAAATCCTGATTTAACAATATAGGATGGAGGAGGGGAGACATCACTAAAATACATGTGTAATCGTTTTTAAATTTCTGGTGACATAGATCTAATTTTAATCTATAATATTTTTCAAAATTAAAAACAAAAAGTACTATTAGAATTTACACTTTCTGATGACTTGGTTGTCTCTTGGAATGTATTTTAGTTAATCACTCTAGCTGAAAATTGGTCCAACTACCCACAAAAATATACCCAACAAAACATAATGAAAATTTTATCAAGTACATTTTTTTTTATTGGTAAATTAAGCACAGCTAAGAAAAGTTAACTGAGAAATAAAATAATAATATTACATGTATCTAGCCACCCATTAACAGAAATAAAATAGTAAATGTTTTAAACAAAAATGTTGTCTTGTTATAAATAGCCTAATAAAAACTGATAAGATATGTAACTATTTTATTCATTTTAAACATTTTCATTACATATTTCACTATCATACACCCTTATGCAATGTATTCATCAGGTACTGAAAAAAGGTTCCTGCTTTAGGATATATATGCAACTTTTTCTTTGGACAAAATAAAACCTGTAATGTTAATGATTCTATTTTAATTGGAGATTTTTTGTTAGCAGTATGCACTCTGCTTGTTACAGAGGGTTTTCTGGACTTTCATCACCAGAACCGTGAGATGTAGTTATATTCTTAATGCTTGGAATAGTAGCTTCCCAGGCACCCAAGCACTAGAATAAGGAAAAAAGTTCAATAAATAAATCATGAGGTAGGTTACTATACAACTTACAAGTACTGCCAAATTAAGTACAAATATTTGTATTACTAAATACTATATCAATTTACAATGTTTAGTATTCTTACTTTGGTCCTCAAATCTTTTCTTTACAGGTAAGTGGCAAAAAAAATCATATCTGATAAATACACCACTGAGAAAAGCTGTTACCTTTTAGTAGAATAATAGTTCTCTTGAATGATTAACTCACATGTTAGCATTCTTTGTTTTTGTGCTGCCCTCTATATTCACAATTTTTTGCTTGCCACTAGCCTTGAGTCTCCCACCTAAACATGGTATTGGTATGCTGTAGTATGCAATTGAGCATGCGCCAAAAATGGGAGTGTGACACACCCTCCATACTAATTATTCAATAATCACTTTGAGATTAGCCAAGAAAGAATGCACTTGAAGAGGGGAGGTAGTGTAAAAAGAGGTATCTATTGGAAATACATTTTCAGTGTTAGAAAAAGTTAACTTTAACAATATGATACCTTACCTATCTTCTCACATATTAACTAGAATCCCACAATAAAGTCATGGATAAGCCCCCCCCCCCCCAGAAGAGGAGCAGAAGAGGAGCTCCGAGAGATAAAGAGATGAGGAACTTCCTGCATGGGACAGAAGGGAGATAGGGGGTGAATGTACTTTCTCCTTCCCACACTGCAGATATTTTGGGGAGAAAGGCAAGGTCTGGATAAAGGAGAATATATGAATGATGGAAAAGAATCTGCGAAGCATCTATAGCATATACGTCTGACCATCAATGGTTGCAAGCAAAAAGGAGTAAAGAAATGGGTCTTAAGCAAAAGATGGTACAATGAACAAGAAACTAAAGGTACAAAAAGAGGTAGGGTAAGGGCATGGTAGAATAACATTCAGGTCACAATCAGGAGGGACAGGGATGATGAAGAAGGCAAAAGGACAGGCAAGAGAATACACGACCAGAACAGGAAAATCAGAAAGTATTCAACAGTGCCAAGCAGTGGTCGAAAATGATAAGCCTTGGTCAAACAACCAAGTGAAAACCTCAGAAAGGTGGGGAACAGAAGGACAGGAAGGGGAGAAGCCATGATGCAGAGACCAACTATCAAAAATGCACCATTTATGTTGATATACAAAAAGAGATGAAGAACAAATGGAAGGAGAAAGGAAGGTTACATGTGAAGAGTCTGGAGCATCTTACAAGGGACGAGATAAACCCATTGCATGAAGACAGAATGCAGATACTACTGGATGTGAGCGATGGGGAGGAATGTGATTGAAGGAGGAGGGATTGTGAGAGAGGAAGATGAAGAGAGGACTATAAAAGGTTCAACAGAGGAAAACATTGCTGAGCTGGCCAATACAAAGCAATCAGGGGGACTCAACACAGAGTGATCTGAATAAGAGAAAGCACCTAGAGAAGAAGACGAATAGGAGGGTAGGCATAAAGAAAAGGTTGGACCAGTTCTGACTGAATGCATCCACAGCAAGAGCTGCACTAGGAGGATTTGTCGCATGCTCATTTGTATGCTACAGTGCAGCAAAACCACGTGAGTTTAGATGAGAGTCTCAAGACTGGTGGTGAGCAAGACATTATGCATTTTGAGGGCAACACAAAATCTAGGAAAGCTAATATGTGAAAAGAGGTATGGCATCGTATCAGAATTTTGAATTTCTTTATCCATAGGTTCAAAACATGTACAAGTCAGGAGTAAATTACATTGCATTTAATGATAAGTTTATTTTGAGATATCTTAAATTACTAAAAAAAAAAAAAAATCAGTTTCATTTCAGATCCCAAATTCAATGCAAAATGTTTGAACCCATTCCATATTTAGTGTCTTGTTAAACTCAGCCCTTTCCCTAAATTATCGCAAGACTTATCTTATAATGTAACAATGTTATTTCAATTTCATATTCAACTAAATCAATACCAATGTGATAAGAGTATCTTACTTTCCCATAATGCAACTTTTAAAAGGTAGAACATGAAATTTTGAATAAACTCTACTCTTGATATACCTTCAGATAACAGATACATTTATAGCTGGGATGTTCTTCTTCTTGTAATTTTTGCATATTTAATTTTCAGAAAAGAATAACTTCCCCATTTTTTTTTTATCCATAAAATCGTGTACTACATATCCAGAGTGAATTACACAGACAATAAGTAAAAAATTTTTAGGCTCTATTTAATATTCAAACATTTGATAAACTTTCATGAATATAATGTTAAATTAGAAAATAAAAACTCTCATAATGATACAAAATAAAAATGCTTTTCAAAACTCTTCATATTCAGTATTTCTAGTTTTCATGATGTTCCTACCTTTTCATAATACTGGACCTGCCGATTGGCCATTCCAACAAATAACTGTTTTAACTCTTGTCTTTTTGTTTCCTGCCAGCTCTCTATTTCTCCTTGAAGCTCACTATTGGCTTTCTGGTGACGATGGTTATTTTCATCTACTTGTCTGACCAGCTAATAATAATTATGAAAAAACAATGAAATTTACTTTTTACTAACTTAATAACAGAAGTATTAAGGACATGGATAAATAAATTATTGTACACTATGTGGAGTACTCGTCCATTGGAAGTATGAAATAAAATTAGTTTGTAACAAAGGATGGGAAACTGTGAACTGTTTCTTGTCTACACTAGTGTAGCAGAAGGTCGTGAAACTGTTTCTTGTCTACACTAGTGTAGCAGAAGGTCGTGGAACTGTTTCTTGTCTATACTAGTGTGGCAGAAGGTCGTGGAATTGTTTCTAGTCTACACTAGTTTGGCAAAAGGTCATGGAAAATTTTATTGTCTACTATAAACCGGGTGTAGCAGAAAGTTACGGAACAGTATCTTGTGTGCACAGGTGAAACAGAAAGTTGCGGAACAGTATGTTACTTGCACAGAAGTAACTCCAGTGCAACACTGGTGCATATCAAGAATATTTTTAACTGCCTTTCCTTCTCGACCATCCATGTCTTTTTGCTGCAGCCGCTTATCACTGTCAAGCCTGTTACTGCGAGAGGGAGCATCTAAGCATTTCTTTGCTACAGATTAAACTTTATAAGCGTGTGACAGGATGGCATGAGGGTTGGTTGGACCCCCACCTAATTTCATATTGATAGAATTCTTAAATACAGTATGTCTTTCTTTTCGGTGTTGGTACCTTTATGTATTTTATTCTACTTTTAATGTTTATTATGTTAAGAAAAAAATAGAAAAATTGTCTACACCAGTGTAGCAGAAGGTCGTAGAACTGTTTCTTGTCTACACTAGTGTAACAGAAAGTCGTGGAACTGTTTCTTGTCTACACTAGTGTAGCAGAAGGTCGTGGAATTGTTTCTAGTCTACACTAGTGTGGCAGACGGTAGTGGAACTGTTTCTTTCGACATTAGTGTAACAGAAAGTCGTGGGAAATTGTTCCACGACTTTCTGTTACACTAGTGTAGACAAGAAACAGTTCCACGACCTTCTGCTACACTAGTGTAGAAAGAAACAGTTCCACGACCTTCTGCTACACTAGTGTAGACAAGAAACAGTTCCACGACCTTCTGCCACTCTAATGTAGAAAGAAACAGTTCCACGACCTTCTGATACACTAGGGTAGAAAGAAACAGTTCCACAACCTTCTGCCACACTAGTGTAGACACGAAATTGTTTCACGACTTTCTGTTACACTAATGTCGAAAGAAACAGTACCACTACCGTCTGCCACACTAGTGTAGACTAGAAACAATTCCACGACCTTCTGCTACACTAGTGTAGAAAGAAACAGTTCCTCAACATTCTGCCACACTAGTGTAGACACGAAATCGTTTCACGACTTTCTGTTACACTAATGTCGAAAGAAACAGTTCCACTACCGTCTGCCACACTAGTGTAGACA